TCCCAGCAGGGGGCGCTGTGGGGAGCGGGGTAGGGGTCACTGGCTGTGGGGGGGAGGGGGTGGTTCCTGGCTACTCCAGCCCAGCCTCTCCCAGCAGGGGGTGCTGTGGGGCGCGGGGTAGGGGTCACTGGCTGTGGGGAGCAGGGCAGGGGTCACTGGCTGTGGGGAGCGGGGCAGGGGTGCTGGATGGGGAGGGAGCTCGGAGCTGTCCCAGTGACAGCTGTGGTGTCTGCACTGGTCCTGCTGGTGACGCAGGGCAGGAGGCCGGGAATCCTCCATCCAGGCGTGTCTAACACAAACAGGAGCAGGCCGTGGGCCTCCTGCGGGCTGGGCATGGCAAGGCAGCAGGGCGCATCCAGCCGAGCCAGCCCCTCTCACTCCTCGTCTCCCCCGTGCGCCCGCTGGCAGGGATTGGGGCAGCCCCGCAGCCCTCCTGCACTGCCAGGGCTCAGCCGCCATCAGAGGCCAGGACAGTGTCTGCAGCCCCAGCCCTGCCCCAGGGAGCGGGGACACCTCACACACAGCCCTTTGCCCCAGCTGATAAATGCCCAGCTCAGGCCCTGGCAGCAGCCGGAGAGGCGCCTGGGAGCCGGCCAAGGTGAAATGTAACCGGCCCCGCAAGGCTCCTGCTGCTCCACGGGCGCTGCCTTGCTCCTCTGACTGTAGGGAGCAAGCGGCTGGGACCTGCGCATGGCTCCCGCAAACCCTGAACAGGTTCCCTCGCCCCACAGGTTCCCCCGATCCCCAGAGCCCCCCTGCCGTTTGTATGGGGAGCCTCCGAATCCACATCGAGGGGAGGCATGGGGGGGACATTTGCCATGGGGCCGGGGCTCCCAGCCCAAACCCCAGGCCCAGTAAGACGAGGCGCAGGCAGCATGTGGTCCGGAGGGGGGAGTCCAGAGAACAGAGGGACGGTCCTATGTAAAGAGGCCTTTCATTCAGGAGGCAGAGAGAGGCATCCCTCACCCAGCACTGATATGCAGCCACCTCTGGATTGGGACGCAGCAGCTGCTCTGCAACAACCCCAGAGTTTAGGACCAGAAGTGCTGAAGGATCCTGCATCCAGCAAAGCTTGGGGGGGGGCACGATGGATTCTCTGGAAACAGAATCTGGCGAGGACACTAGGGAGAGAGCTCTGGGATCACAAGTAGCCAGAGCCACCATCCCAATCCCTGTACACTGCGCTGGCTGCCAGGGGAGAGCACCCTCACTGCACCTCACCCCACTGCCTGCAGCACGGGGCAGCCCCAGGGGCTTTCCCCTCCAGGGACTGACCCCCAGCGGCCCTGCTCTGCTCCTCGTCCACCCAGCCCACCTAGCTGGCATGTACAATGCCCCCTGCCGGCTCACCTGCCACCTCCACAGTCGTCACCATTCGGTCACCAACAGCGTCACAAACGTAGGAGCCAGAGTCGCTGGGCCGGGCCCCGAGGATGGTCAGCTGCCTGAGAGCTCCCCGGTCCTCGATCCGGACTCGTTCGCTGGCCACCAGCTCCTGGCCATCCCTGAGCCAGCGGACGGCAGCGCTGGGCTGTGACACCTCGCAGGCCACCACCAGGTCATCGCCGGCCGCCAGGCACTGCTGCTCCCGGCCCCCCTTGCTCCTCACAATGCACACAGGGGGCTCTGGGGAGTCAGAGAGAGGCAGCGTCACTGCATGGGGCAGAGGCCAGGCTCGGGGTCAGGCGCGCCTCACACCCCACAGAGTATGGCGTGCAGCAGCCAGAGCGACCCACTGCATGCATGCTGGACAGGCTGGCACATGGACTGTGTGCCAGACGGCCTGACAGACAGCACTGCCTGTACCGACAGACGTACCAGCTGTGCTCCAGAGGGGCCGACTGACACAGACAGGCAGACTGTACGCTAGACAGGTGGCTGACAGACGGAAGTAACAGCCACAAACTCCAGGCAGGCCAGGGAGAGACTTTGGCCAAGTACCAGCCGGTGGGGAGGCACATCCCCTGCCTCAGCTGAGCTCCCCCGCTCCGATCCAGAAGGTACCCGGGACGATCCCAGCTGGGCCTGAGACAGCAGGCTGGGGTCAGGGCCCCGCTCCAGAGCACAGGGAGAGGGGCTTCTCCATGGGCTGCAGGGGGAAGTCCCAGCTGGGAGAGACCTTCCCCTGAATATTTCACTGGGGCACATCTGGAAAAGAGGTTTCCTATAACTGTCCCACGCAGGGCTGCCTATACCCTCCCAATCCTGGTAAATACCCCCCAGGGCTGCCTCTATAACCCCCCATCCCCCACACACCAGGGCTGCCTATAAACACCCGACACACCCACACCAGCCTATGACCCCCGCAGCCCCACGGCTGTGACCTCCCAACGTCCCGCTGCCCAGAGGTCCTGGGCTGACAGCACCTGCCCCTGGATCAGGCTAGTCCAGTGGTTCCCAAACTTTAACAACCTGTTAACCCCTTTCACTAAAATGTCTCGTGAACCCCCTCCTAAAAATGAATATTTCCAGGGATTTTCTCCTTTACCTGAGTATAAATTATAAAAGCAGTGATCTTGGAAATATAAAATTTGTTTTTATGACATGCTTATTACACACTATTATTAATTATTATTTATAATTACATTATGAAAATGGCAACACTCTTCCAAGATCTCACTTCCGTAGCTTGTATCACTTTGAATAAGCCTGTTATGAGACAAGGCTCCTATGTTTCATCAAGGAGTATCAGATTTGAAACAGCATGAAGGTATTTAAGAAGCCAACTCAAAGAGTTCCTCCTACATAAGCATTCAGGTCTTGAGTAGTCCAGGCAAACAACGCACGTTACAACAAAGCTTAAACTTGTTCTTCATAATAATTTTAAAAACAATACTAGCTGCCTATTTAATTTTAAAAACAGCAAAAAATATTCACCTCCCTTTCCATTTCTTATAAGGAGTCTTGAAGTTTAAATCTCCTCAGTATGATAGATATGCTTGCTTTGATCTGCTTAGCTCTTGGGCTCCAGGCTACTGATCCCATGCTGTTCGGGGTCCCTAGGAACAGCTCTGTCCGCCATTAGGGAATTTTTTCCCCGAGAACCCCCGTAACGAGAACCCCAGTTTGGGAACCACTGGGCTAGTCTAGCCCTGTAGCCCTCTAGTGGCCTGTTCTGGAATAACCGGCCTGGAGTTAGATTCTCTCTCCACCTCCAGCCCTTAGGTCAGGCGTGGGCAAACTTTTTGGCCCAAGGGCCACATGTGGGCATAGAAATTGTATGGCAGGCCATGAATGCTCACGAAATTGGGGTTGGGGTGTGGGAGGGGGTGCGGGCTCCGAGGTGGGGCCGGAAATGAGGAGTTCGGGGTGCAGGAGGGGACTCCGGGCTGGGGATGGGTTGAAGGCTCCGGCTGGGGATGAGGAGTTTGGGGTGTAGGAGGGGACTCCAGGCTGGGGGTGGGGTGAGGGCTCCGGCTGAGGATGAGGAGTTCGGGGTGTAGGAGGGTGCTCCAGGCTGGGACCGAGGGGTTCAGAGGGCGGGAGGGGGGGATCAGGCCTGTGACAGGGGGTTGGGGTGCAGGAAGGGGTGCAGGCTCCGGCTGGGGGTGTGGGCTCTGGGGTGGGGCTGGGGATGAGGGGTTTGGGGTGCACGAGGGTGCTCCGGGGTAGGATCAAGGGGTTTGGAGGGCAGGAGGGTGCTCCGGGCTGGGGCAGGGGGTTGGGGCACAGGGGGAAGCTCAGAGGTGCAGGCTCCGGGCGGTGCTTACCTCAACCAGCTCCTGTAAGCAGCAGGATGTCCCTTCTCCAGCTCCTACACGGATTCGCAGCCAGGTGATTCTGCGCGCTGCCCTGTCCGCAGGCACCACCCCTGCAGCTCCCATTGCCCGTGGTTCGCGGCCAATGGGAGCTTCAGGAGCGGTGCTTCGGGTTGAGGCAGCATGCAGAGCGGAGTCCCCTGGCTGCCCCTACACATAGGAGCCGGAGGAGACCATGTCGCTGCTTCTGGGAGCCACGTAGAGCGGCCCCCGACCCTGCTCCCCGGCTGGAGTGGGGCAAGCCCCGGACCCCGCTCCCCAGCGGGAGCTCGAGAGCCGGATTAAAACGTCGTACAGGCCATAGTTTGCCCACCCCTGCACTAGGGCTAGGATGGGACACATGGGCTGACAGCCCTTTCAGGGCTATTATAGTTCATATAATGGGATGTTCCCAGGATCCATGAGAACACTACTGCTCTCTGAATCCCACTGACCTCTTGGCCTCAAGCATACCATGTGGCAGGGAGTTCCACAGGTTACGTGTGTATTGTCTAAAATACAACAGCATTTCCTGCTGCTGCTATTAACTACACTGCCTTCCCATTTCACTGAGCCCCCCGTGTTCTGCTGTTAAGGGAGGGGCAACCAGCCACGCCCAATCCCCCTCTCTGTGCCGCTCCTAGAGACACACCTCGTCAGCCTCCGGTATGGGGCTCCTCTAAACCGAACTGCCCCAGCCTCTGCAGTCTCTTTATACGGAAGCTCGCCCAGGCCCCTTCCCCCACCCGGGACCCCACCAGACCCTTTCTGAAGCCGGGAGACCAGAGCCTGGAACTGCACTTCCGGCTCAGCCTCCCAGTGCAATCGCAGCAGACGCTGTCCATGCGCTCTCCAGCCATGCGCGGCCGCAGCTGGGGTTACACTTCGACCACGGCTGTGCATCAAGCGGGGTGCACGGGGCTGCCCAGGGCTCTCCCCTGAGGGGTCACAGGGAGTTCAGAGCCCAGGGCAGAGCGTGAGGGTCCAGATTACTCCTTCCAGTGGGTGCGCCCTGCATTGCCCACACTGTACTTCACCTGCCCCCACTGCAGCCCGCTCCCCCGCCTGGCTGGGCCCTCTGCCCCCTCCCTCACCTGCCTGGCTGGGCCCTCTGCCCCCTCCCTCACCTGCCTGGGCCCTCTCTCCTTCCTCAGTCCCCTCTGATTTTAACTAGCCTAAGTCATGTAGTGTCATCACCCACCTTCCTATTGCCCTGCTCACCCCCATCACAGACCCCCATTAGCCCATTGAATAAGGCTCCTCACACCCTCATTCTGTGGGGCCCGGCAGCAAAGGGCCTGTCCCTCCAGAGGAGCTGCCCGGCCAGGGCCGGCTCCAGGGTTTTTGCCGCCCCAAGCAGCCTCCCGCCCCCCAAAAAAGCTGCGATCGTGATCTGCGGCGGCAATTCGGCGGGAGGTCCTTCGCTCCGAGCGGGAGTGAGGGACCCACCGCCGAATTGCCGCCGAATAGCTGGATGTGCCGCCCCTCTCCAGAGTGGCCGTCCCAAGCACCTGCTTGCCAAGCTGGTGCCTGGAGCTGGCCCTGTGCCCGGCTCCTGCATTGCTCCCCAATGCCAGGCAGGGCCCTCGCCCACCCGCCGGACAGGAAGTCAGCGGCAGCTCAGCCGTACCTTCCACGGCGACACAGAAGATGAGGCTGTCGTCATGGCTGTCACACAGATACTCCCCCGCGTCCTTGCTCTCCATGCCCAGAATGACCAGTGCATGCCGTGCCCCGTCTTCCTCCAGACGCACGCGCCCCGTGTCCTGCAACTTCTCACCATCCTTGTACCACTTCACCTCTCCGTGGGCATGGGAGAGTGTCACCTCCAGCACCAGGTCCTCCGCGGCCAGGCAGCGGCGGTGGGTCTGCAGCTCACCCCGCCCCAGGATCGTCACAGGAGGGTCTGGCAGAACCAAGACAAACAGCAGCTACGATTAACCAGCCTATGGAACTCCCTGCCACAAGGTTTCACTGCGGCCAGGAGCACAGCAGGCACCAGAAGGATTCGATATTTGCATGGACAACAGTGACAAGAGCCCCCATGACCCTGCGCGACATACAAGGGCGCTGAACCCCCTGCGCCAGTGTTGGGGATAGGAAGGCGATTCCCCTGGGCCCAGCCCTCATTGCAGGGCTGTTGTACCTTCCCCGGAAGTGCCGGGGCTGGTCGCTGTCAGAGACGGGCACCAGACTAGCGGGGACCTGCTCCACTCCAGCCTGGGAACTCCGCCACAGGCCCAGGACTCGGCCTGCTCTGAGCGCATGGTCAGGCCAGCGCAGGCCCCCCGGGACCAGGGTGGGCCCAACTGGCCCCTGAGCATCCTGACAGAAGGGGCGTGCGATTAGCCTGTTTCATGTCACACCCCTTGATTTCCTGTTGGGAGGAGACAACCAGCACCGATGCCAGGGCTCTGGGGCCTGCAGGGGCTGCCAAGGAGACAGAAACTGGCACAGCCAGCTTGGGAAACTCAGCCTGGCGAGCTGGGCACTGCACCACTGGCCTGCTGTGCCCAAGTGGGAATTGGCTGTACTATTTTTATCAAGTCGGTGTCTGCCTCAGTTTCCCCTATATGCTGCATTGTTACTATTGGGAGCAGGGGAAGAGACAGGTGTGACGGGCTCCCAGCTGTCTGGGACCTGAGGTCCCACATCAATGGAGCTCTGGAGAAGACAATGGCAAATCCAGCTGCCCAGACACTGATGCCCAGCAACCAGCGACCCAGAGAGATCTGCACCCCCCACCACTGGGCAGGGGGCTGAGCCGCATCCCCAGCTCGGGAACAAAGGGCTGGCGGGGGAGGTGTGTTGGCTGCAGGAAGCAGTGGGAGGTACACTGCGGAGTCTGACTGAGGAGGTCAGTCGGCGTGACAGAGGGACGGGGCTTTGGGCTCTGGGCTCCCCAAGGGCTCCCTGTGCTGGGTCAGGTGACTAATAACCCGCCTGTCGGCCCGCACTGGCTGTGTGACCCTGCAGACGCTGGCGGAGGGGGCGCTGACCCCTAAGACGGTGTGACAAAGTGGGTTTTTCCTCCTTATTATGTTGTATGTGAGCCTATGTGAGTCTTACTGTTTTGCATGAATACTCTGTGTGCCTCAGCTTCCCGGCGTATTGATCAGGATGTGGGGCAATGGATGTGTCGGAGGTCGGGTCGCTGGAAGCTGGGCAGTCTGCTATGGGGGACTCAGAGAGTGGGGAGTCCAGGGCGTCCAGTCCGGGGTCCCCCCAAGATGGACTTGGCTGAAAGTCACTGATTTCTGTGCTAACAAGATCTGTTCTACACTGTGATCCTGTTGACTAATAACCCGTCTGTTTTACCGGCTGACTGAGAGTCATGGCTGACTGCGGACTTGGGGTGCAGGGCCCCTTTGGCTTCCCCAGGGGTCCCGTCCAGGTGGACCCACCAAGGGGAAGTGTATGGTGTGAACAGGGGGCTGAATGCTCCGAGGTCAGTCCCAGGAAGCTCCGTGCCCTGAGGGGAGTCACGCTTCCCAGAGTCCTGCTGGCTTTGTACTGAGCAGTTCCAGAGCATCGGACCTGTGACTCCGCCATAGATGGTACAACTCTCCCTCAGGTCTGTCTCCGTGGGACTCGCTGCCCAGGGTCCAGCCCCAGGAGGCAGTGACGCCGCGTGGCTTCCCCTGGAGGCGGAGTGAGACCCTTTGGGGGCATGGCCCACTGACGGGGCCTCCCAAAGCCTGTCCCCACGCGGGGGATATGACCCCCATCCTATGGGTCCGTGACACCTTCCCCACCCCGTTGCTGACCCCCGCACAGACTCACCATGGCTCTCCAAGCACACCCAGTGGGGCCTATGCCGGGGCGCAAGCCCTGAGCCTGAATGCGCAGACACAGCAACTGTCCCTGGACAGACTAGCCACTGGAAACAGAGCTGACGGGCAGAGCCCACATGAGCACCAGTGCCCCGGTGCGTGCGGACTGCCACACAGGCAGCGACAGGCAGGCCAAGGCCTGCGCATGGGACTCAGGTCTGGTTCTCAGGGGGCAGCAGACTCGGCCTGGGGCAAGAGAGGGTTGTGGGGACATCATTTTATAGCCCAAATCTGGCTGCAAAGGCACCTCCTGCAGTGCCAATGCCCCCACCCAGGGGCCAGTTCTAGGCCCAACTCACGCTGCTGGGAACTCGCTTCCCCCAGCACCGCCCTGCTCGCTGGGGCGTCACCAGCCACCCCAAGGCAGCTACTCAGGTCTCTGGGCCCTCCCCAGCCTCTCACTCACCACACACTTGGACAGTAAACGTCCTGGTGTCATCAGCCGCATCGCAGACGTACTTCCCAGAATGCTCCACTCCAGCCGCAGGGATGACCAGCCGCCGATGGGCACCCTCCTCCTCCAGGATCAGGCTGCCGCCAGCCTCCAGCCTGGTGCCATCCTTAACCCACTGCACTGGCACGTTCCCGCGCGAGAGCTCGCAGGCCAGAGTCACCGTCTCCCCCATGACGGCCTTCAGGGTGGGGGGAGCTCGCCGCGGCTGCAGGATCTTCACCGGGGGCTCTGAAAGGAGAGGGCAGCGCTGGCCCAGGCAGCCAGGGGACAATGCTGCCCCCACCCTGCCCTGTTGGTTTGAATCAATCTCCGGCACAGCCAATTTCTCCTTTCAGGCCACGAAAGAGCAATGGCGGGTGTAAGCGCCGGAGGGAGCAGATCACGGGATGGCTCCTGGGGACTGAGGAGACACAGCGCGTATGGCTGTGCCTCGGGGCACGTGTATGACACGGAGTGGTCATGCCAGCAGATACTCACCACCGGCAAACGTACGGCCCACTCTCCCCAGCTACTCCGTGACCATAAGCAGAGCGGGAACCCAGGAGACGCCAAGTGCAGCCGAGAGAGGGAGACGGACCCGGAGCGGGGGAAGAGCTTTGCTCAGTTTATCGACGATGGTCACAGAGCAGATGTCACAGAGACAAGGAAGCTGTGCCCCACGTTACCTGGCCCCCCACGCTCACCTGACACCCTGACGTCAAAGGAGACGGACTCGTCCCTTGTCTCACAGATGTACTCGCCAGCATCCTCGGCCCGGGCCTGCGGGACAATCAGCCAGCGCTGGGCCCCCTCTGCCCGCAGCAGCAGGTTCTCTGTCTCATCCACCTCCAGCCCGTCCTTGAACCAGCACACCTGGGCATCTGCTCTAGACAGCTCACACCTCAGCTCCAGGCGCTGCAGCGCCAGAGCCTGCAGCTCCAGGGAGCGCTCCTGGGGGCGCAGGATCCTCACTGCAGGCTCTGTTGGGCACATCGAACGGAAGGGACATGATGGGCTCAGGGAGACCCAATCTCTACCCGCTGCAGGGCAGGGGGTCTGCTCTGCCCAACCCCAGCCTGCGAGACCCCCGGCCACTGCCTGTGTCCATCAGGAGGCCTGGGCTCCCCAGTGCTCTGGGGGATCTGGGTGGGTGCTGGGACTGCAGCCTGATGGTCGTTAGGAAAAGTCTCTGCCAGTCTTGTGCTACATGTGGGGAAGCAGCTGCCCACGGAGCTCAGGTATCACAGCCTCTGTCAGACCCAGACCCCAGTTCTTCCAGGGGCATCGCGGGCTGGGCACAGACAGGGGGGCCGGGCTCTCCCCTCAGGTCAGGGGCTGGGCGCTGACAGGGGGGCGCAGGGCTCTCCCCTCGGGGC